AGAGCCCGGGATATTCTCAGGTCCCAGAGCCTGGGATGTTCCAGTCAATGTGTGTTTGGATTCCCTGGAAAGCACCTCTGTCTCTTTGCCTTCTCTGCAAGGCTGGACTTGATCTGAAGGCTGTGCTTGATAATCCTGGAGGTCTTTTCCATCCTCAACAAGTCTCTGCTCCTCTCAGTTCCTGTTTAATCTGCTCCTTAGTCTCCACAAACCTGTACTTGGTCTTAAAAAGGGTCAGGATAAACCAGGCTGTGGAGAAGGAAATGGTTGTAGAGAATCTGTTAAGGGGATCTTTTCTGTGCCCTCTGCAGTTCCATCCCTGGTCCACACTGATGAAATTCAGGGCAGAGGCTGAGTTATTGAGGATTTGTCAGTGGTGGCTCCTGGCCATGGTAGACAGAAAGCAGAGAAATCAGAAAAAAGAGGAAACCTGCTCCTGAGGCAGCACTGTCAGCTCAGGGCTAAGTTCAGCTGAGCTGACAGTGCAGTGCAGCTTCACACGTTTGGTGTCATTCCTTGGCGCCAGGAAAAAGAGTAAAATCAGCTGCAAGTTCTTCTCTGGGACATTTGGCAGGGGCTCCGTGGCTGCACTCTGTCAGCTTGGCAAGAGAGAGGGGCGGCAGCGGCAGGAAGGGGAGAGTCAGTCCTTGGGAGAAGGAAAGAGCCGAGCCCCAGCGCCCAGCGTGGAGGGGAAAGGCTGCAAGGAGAAGGACTAAGGCAGCAGCTGCTTTGGCCAAGGCCCCTTGTACTCTGCAGGAGCTGGAGGGCACACTGCACTCTGCCAGCCAGAACAGCTTTCAGCCCACAGTCAGCTGAGAAGAACGTGCAGCGCAGAGTGGGGTGGGGAGCCTTTAAAGGCTGCAAGGCAAGAAGTACTGCCACTCCATTGTGAGTACAGAGAAGGGTGAAATTAGAGGGAGGAGGTGACCGAAAGCTTTCTTTGTTGGCACACTTCCCTTTTGGAGCTGGAGTGGGAAAGCACACCCTTTCACTGCGAGAGAGGTGTCGGGACACAGGCAGTCCAGCTGCCGGTGTGGAAGCAGGAGAGAGCCTCGCACTGGCTTTCTCAGCTCTTCAGACTTTCCCATTCTCTCTCTATTGCAACGTGCTTGTGAAACAAGAAGCCAGGCCCAAGAGTTAACTGAGAAATCTGGGCCTGCTAAGAAGCCACCAACATCCAAACGATCTGTGCTCGTTCTGTTCTACCTACTGGACCAAAACTTAAAAGAATGGTAAAAGAAACATACCTAGAGGTAATAAATTAGGATGCAGTAAGATAAAGTAGACATTTGAATAGGAGAAACAGGCCCGGAGCCAAGGCTTTCTCCAAGCTTCAGCGAGTGGGTTGAGAACAACAGAAAAGAAGGAAGGTCAAGCTGAGGAAGATGAGATTAAGCCCCCAGACTCACTGGAGGAAGAGCAGATCTACCACCAAGACTGAGGGCCAAGAGAAGCCTGAGCTCCACCTATACTCTGCCTGTTTTTAATATGTATAGATGTGGTAATCACATGAATATGCATTCAATCATATGTGAAAATTGTATAAAAACTACTGATTTTGTGTGAAAACTTTGAGGTGCAAACCACACTTGCTCCCGGCCCTGTCAATAAATGCCTTTGGTGCTCAAAGATCCAAAAGAAGACTGTGAGCAGTTCTTTATACCGGATTTTTGGGATTCACTTGTAAAGGCAGAAGTTTCCAGCTCCTTTCCACACCCAGAGATGTGCCACCAGAAAGCTTGTTTAGCCTGCTGCTTTTGCACTCTCCTTCTCAGCTCAAACAACCACCATCAGGCTCTTTCTGTGTCCCAGGGCAGAAGGAGCTGCTCCACGGCTCGCCCAGGAGAGGGAGAGGGATGTGGACACTTTGGCCTCTGCAAGCCTTGAACCTCTGTGTGGGGACTTGGCAGCTGAGAAGGAAGCTGCTCACAGCTCTGCAGTGAGAGAGCAGCTGACAGGCTGTCCAGCCAAGGGGGCTGTGCTTGACTGTGGCACAAGCACGAGGTTTGAATCCAAGGGGCAGCAAGCCTTTTGTCCCAGCCCCTCTGTGCGGGCCAGCCTGGTGTCCTATGGCAGGAAGAGGTGAGAAGTGCAAGGCAGCCTCATGTGTTTGGTGTCTTTCCTTAGTTTTAGGATAAAGACTAAAATCAGCTCCCAGCCTGTGGATCCCTGCCATGTCTCTGTCCCTGTTGCAGTCACCAAACCTGAGGCAATCATTCGTAGCCCACATGGAAAAGGACATTTCCGAGCTGCCTCCTGGAGGTGTCTTGGTGTTGCCACAGTGAGTCCCTTTTTTCCTGTTCCAGGGGTGTGTT